CCCCAAAACCCCAAAACCCCAAAACCCCATTTATCAATATAAGCTTATAAATTAAAAGCTTGAGATAAATAATTCTATGGAAGACACAGATAGCTCTGAATTTAAAGCCACTAACAATATCAGAGATATTAGCTCATTTAAGCAATTAAGAAGAGTAAACCTTGATCTTGAGAGCCCAAGATTGGAGCAGGCATGCTTCAAGCTAGGAATAAAGCCAGAAGAACTCTTGCTAAAGGAGAAATCTGAATTTGAGAATAAAAAATTGCAAAAAGATGTGATTGATCTTAGATATAAAGTAAGTAGTCCAATGCCTTTCTGATAACAATTTAAATGAATTCAATTGCACTGTTTCTCATACTCTCTAGCATTTCATGGCTAGGCTTATCGATACTATCAACAGAGTACTTAAAGAAAGAAGGGAAATCATTTTAAAGGAGAGAAAATAAGCAAAAAGCTGGAACAAGTTCTCATAGTGGAAAATATAGTCCTAATTATTCACCAAACTTAGTTCACAAGAGGAGAAGTGGATCGGTAGAAATGTCCAAGCCTAATGAAGATTTAATGATGTCCACACAGCCAATTCTAAACAGATTCGGCTTGTAAACCTTTGATTTATAACTTTCTAGGCCTGAATTAAAAGTAAGCCAATCAATCCAAAGAGTGAGGGAGAAGAAGACTAAAATTTTCCTGATGGACGACAATAAAGGTAAGAAACGAGTAGAACAGTATCAAAAATAAATGGAAAGATGCTCAAAAGCAGAAGAATAAGATCCTTAAGAGCCATGTTGACAAGATCCAACAAAAAGAAAAGAAGAGGCTAGAATCTCTCCAAAAGTACCAGCAGATTGAGAAAGCTCACCAGAGAAGAGCTAGGCAAGATCATAAGAAATATATTGAGAGGTGAAAACTAAAGGAAATCAACAGAAAGGAAAAAGAAAAGGAACGATATCTCAAGCTTAAGAGACAAGAAGAAGAGTTTAAAGAGAAATAGAGACCAGATTGTTACCATGAAGAAAGTAAGTCTTGATGCTAAACTTATCATCATTCCACAAGTTATGCATTATTTTTAAAGCTAGAATCTTGCAATAATTCTTATGGTGATCTCATGAGCATTTAGGAAAAAGAAATAGAGGAAATAGAGAGATCTGAGAAACTGCTATCAGAAATAGTTGACAAAATGAACTCAAGTGTACAAAAAGAGAAAAGTCTTCTAGAGAGTACCAAGAAAAAGGCCAAGAAGTTCAATGATATTGCTACTGACAGATTTATTCACCACAAGAAGAAGGAGACCCTGACTAATAAGCAAAAGAAGGAAAAATTGCTGAGACAAGAATTAAAGAAACTTAAGAAAATTAATAATCTCCACAAGAGTTGTACTGATCTTTGGGACTCTATTAAAAAGAAGCACAACGAAAAATTTGAACATATCAAGAGCAACAGAGCAAAGGTTGGCAAGATGAAAAAGAAGAGGATAAACCAACTAGTCAGAAATAAAAATAAAAGCCAAGAGGTTATCTCTGAGCATATGAGGAAAGTCCAGCATGATATAATGCTTAAGCAAGAACTACGCAAGCTTAGAGAACAAGACATACAATTGACAATAGAAAGGAATAAAAGACTTGTGGATATCAAAAAGGAAGAAATTATAGAGAAGAATCTCAAGTCAAGCCAAGTAATCCAAGATGTTAAGAATGCAAGCCAAGTTATTCAAAAGAAGATTGTAGAGAATAATGTTAAAGAGCTGACAAGAAAGAGGCAAACTTTCATGACATAATGTATTTTCAACAAGTAGCTCTCTAGTTGGGGTTTTGGGGTTTTGGGGTTTTGGGGTTTTGGGGTTTTGGGG